TGATATCAAACATTTGAGTACATTACTGCCACATAGCTAGAAATTAAGCTGACGGTTTGTCGGAGGAAAATCTGCAGCCCATAATCTGCTGTGGGTAGCACATGTTGCTTTGCCTCACTTGGCTGTGAGGAAAGAGGTACGCTGGCTGCTTTAGGGGGTTGCGTTGTAGAGATGTTATTGTTTTTACCTTAAATACTTCCTTTTCACTGTTTTAGTAATAAAATGCATATTTTTGTTTCTTGGAAAACAAAACTCATTGGCTATTTTAAAGAGCTCTACTGGAAATGAGATCGTCGTACACTGTTTAGCAAAGGCAGAGTTCAGGTCTGCTATATATATAGATCTATATCTATATATTGAGAGAAAGAGAGAGAGAGAGAGAGAGAGAGAGAGAGATGTATATATGTGTGTATATATATATGTGTGTAATAATAATAATAATAATGACTCGATAGGTAGACAAAATGCCAAATCCAGTCTGAACATCTGGCTGACTGTGTGATGATCCATAATAATAATAATAATAATAATAATAATAAAAATAATAATAATAAATAATAATAAAGATAGATAGATAGATAGATAGATAGATAGATAGATAGATAGATAGATAGAGGACGTGGCAGTGCCTGGAGATATCAGAATAGACGAGAAAGAATTGGAGAAGATAACAAAATACAAAGACCTACAAATAGAAATAGAAAGACTGTGGCAAAAGCAAGCAAGGGTAGTACCAATAGTCATAGGCGCCTTGGGTGCAATCCCAAAACAACTGGAGCACCACTTGAACACCATCATTGGCATTGACAAATTCGCTATTAGTCAATTGCAAAAGGCGGCCTTGCTAGGAACTGCTTCCATCCTGCGACGATATCTGTAATACCATCAAACGTCCACATCTGCCTATCCCAGGTCCTGGGTAAGGACTCGATAGGTAGACAAAATGCCAAGTCCAATCTGAACATCTGGCTGACTGTGCGATGATTCATAATAATAATAATAATAATAATAATAATAATAATAATAATAATAATAATAATAATAATAATAATAATAAAGTTGGAAGGGACTTTGGAGGTCATCTAGTCCAACCCCCTGCTCAGGCAGGAAACCCTACACCATTTCGGACCAATGGCTGTCCAGTCTCTTCTTAAAAACTTCCAGTGTTGGAGCATTTACTGCTTCTGGAGGCAGGCTGTTCCACTGATTGATTGTTCTCACTGTCAGGAAGTTTCTCCTTAGTTCTAGGTTGCTTCTCTCCTTGGTTAGTTTCCACCCGTTGCTTCTTGTCCTGCCTTCAGGTGCTTTGGACAATAGCTTGACTCCCTCTTCTTTGGGGCAGCCCCTGAGATATTGGAATACTGCTATCATGTCCCCCCTTGTCCTTCTCTTTGTTAAACTAGACCTACCCAATTCCAGCAACCGTTCCTTATATGGTTTAGCCTCCAGTCCCCTAATCATCTTTGTTGCTCTTCTCTGTACTCTTTCTAGAGTCTCAACATCTTTTTAACACTGTGGTGACCAAAACTGGATGCAGAATTCCAAGTGTGGCCTCACCAAGGCATTGTAAAGCGGTATTAATACTTCACATGGTCTTGATTTTATCCCTCTGTTAATGCAGCCCAGCACTGTGTTGGCCTTTTTGGCATAGATAGATAGATAGATAGATAGATAGATAGATAGATAGATAGATAGATAGATAGATAGATAGATAGATAGATAGATAGATGGATGGAGATACAAATATAGATATATAGATATATAGATATGGACTATAGACTATATCTATATCCCAGAATTCCACAGCTAGCCAAGCTATTGTTGAGAATTCTGGGAGTTGAAATCCATTCACCTTCAAGTACAGCTAGTCCATACTTGGGACCACAACTGAGCCCAAAATTTCCATTGCTAAGCAAGACATTTGTTAAGTGAGTTTTGCCCCTTTTTACGACCTTTCTTGCCACGGTTGTTAAGTGAATCCCTGCAGTTGTTAAGTTAGTAACCCGCTTGTTAGGTGAATCTGGCTTCTCCCTCGACTTTAATTGTCAGAAGGTCGCCAAAGGGGATCGCGTGACCCTGGGACGCCACAATCCGTTGTAAATACGAAGCAGTGGCCAAGCGTCTGAAGGTTGATCAGGTGTCCCTGGGGCTGCTGCAGTGGCTAATAAGTGTGAAAAACATTCCTAAGTCGCTTTTGTTCAGTGCCCTTGTAACTTTGAACCGTCACCAAATGAATTGTGTTCAGTTGAAGACTACCCGTGTGTGGACTTCCTGTCCCAGAATCCCACAGCCACCCTAGCCGTGGCAGAGGATTCTGGGAGTTGAAGTCCATTCACCTTCAGTTGGCCAAGGTGAGGAAACACAGCCATGAGGGTACATATTAATCTTGTGATTATTTTTCGTGGGGGCACCAAAAGAGCGTTGCAAATGTTTTGGCAGCGGAAGATGCCGTATTACCAACAGTTTTGGACAAGGAAGAAAGGGAGGAGTGTTTCCAAATGCAGTCTTAATATATCATCATTCCTTTAAATTAGGATCAAAATTAAATTAATATATTTACAAAAATCAGGTGTCACGAGGGGAAAGGCTACCAGGAAAGGAACAGGATATCCGTGTCGTGCCTCAGACTCTGTTCCCCATCGTCGTGTTTTCCACCAAAGTGTTTCCATGCAACCTTCCACTTTGTTACTAGAAATGCGACTCTTTTCCCTTTTTCCTGAAATTGAAAAGCTGAGCTAGAGGAAATCCTTCCTTTGGAACTGAAATTGTCCCTGATATTCCCAGAACTTGGGGTGAGGACACACCTCCACTTGAGCTTAAAATGTGTCCCCGTTGAACTCAACAACGGGAGGCGTCTGCGTCAAGATCACCTTGCTCTAAGTTCAGATGGATGTTTTGACCCTGATATGCTTGTTGAGGGGAATCGAATACTCCGAGAGAGACGGGCAGTTAAGAAATATGAAATATTTCAGTACAGAGAAGAGCAACAAAGAGGATCAGTGGACTGGAGGCTAAAACATATAAAGAAACGGTTGCTGGAATTGGGGATGTCTGGTTTAACGAAGAGAAGGACGAGGGGGGACAGGATAGCAGCCTTCCAATATCTCAGGGGCTGCTCCAAAGAAGAGGGAGTCAAGCTATTCTCCAACTAAGGAGAAACTTCCTGACAGTGAGAACAATTAACCAGTGGAACCACCTGCCTCCAGAAGCAGTGAATGCTCCAACACTGGAAGTTTTTAAGAAGAGACTGGACAGCCATTTGTCTGAAATGGTACAGGGTTTCCTGTCTGAGCAGGGGGTTGAACTAGATGACCTCCAAGATCCCTTCCAACTTTTATTATTATTATTATTATTATGGATCATTGCACAGTCAGCCAGATGTTCAGACTCGATTTGGCATTTTGCCTACCTATGATGATGATGATGATGATGATGATGATGATGATGATGATGATGATATAAATGAATTTTCAATTTGATGCATTGGCTCAGGGTTGTGGAGGTGAGATCCAGCCTAATTGGAGCAAAGCACAAAGTCGAATGAAGTAAAACTTCGTGTCTGAATAACCTTTATCGCGAAGCTTCTTTTTAGGAGATATAAAGACAGCGGAATTTGCTGTAAAACAAGACAAACCCTCCAGAAGCCATGCCGGCTATATGATCCACGGACTACAGGATTCCCCCAGCCCATAATTCCCTAACCGCTCTGGCAAACGTGGCTTATTGTTAACTGCTAAGATTCTCTCAGCTGGTGGGAAAGCGGGAATGGATGACTGAATTTGGCTTTTGCTGTTTCTGCAGTTGTAGATGACAGCTTGTGGAAAACCACACACAAACTGCGCAACGGTTCCCATAACATTTTGTATTACATCTTGGCAACAAGTGCCTTGTTTTTTGAGTTGCATGAAAAGATGGTTTGGATTCTTCTCCCCCCCCTTTTCCCCCCTCCCAAAAGTAAAATCTACAAACCTGCCAAAACCGGCAGCCTCCTTTGCGTCACTAATGAAATCATCCTGGATGGTTGCGTAGATGATAAAAATAAAGTAAAATAACAGAACTGCAGAATTGGAAGGGACCTTGGAGGTCTTCTAGTCCAACCCCCTGCTCGGGCAGGAAACCCTAGACCAGGGGTAGGCCACCTTGGCTCTTTTATGACACGTAGACTTCAACTCCCAGAATTCCTGAGCCAGCCTGGCTCAGCTTGGAAACTTCTCCCTTTCCCCTCAGCATGGCTGGCTCAGGAATTCTGGGAGTTGAAGTCCACCAGTCATGAAGGGGGCCATAGTTCCCCCATACTGGCTCAGGAATTCTGGGAGTTGAAGTCCATGAGTCATAAAAGAGCCAAGGTTACCTATCTCTGACCTAGGCCCTGCTGGCTGTCACCCATGCCCAGAGGCAGGCGGCCTTGGCTCTTTTATGACTGGTGGACTTCAACTCCCAGAATTCCTGAGCCAGCCATGCTGAGGGGAAAGGGAGAGGTTTCCAAGCTGAGTCATGCTGGCTGAGGAATTCTGGGAGTTGGAGTCCACCAGTCATAAAAGGGCCAAGTTTGAAGACTCCTACCCTAGGCCTAGAGTCTAGAGCAGGGGTAGGCCACCTTGGCTCTTTCATGACTCATGGACTTCAACTCCCAGAATTCCTGAGCCAGCCATGCTGAGGGGAAAGGGAGAGGTTTCCAAGAGGAGCCACGTTGCCTCAGGAATTCTGGGAGTTGAAGTCCACGAGTCATATGAAAGAGCCAAGGTTGCCTATCCCTGGCCTATACCATTTCAGACAAATGGCTGATTAATCCACCCTTTTCTGCCTTTGCCATTTTTTTATTTTCATTTTCATTTTATTTTTTTAAAAAGAAGTATTGCTTTGCTCTTTGACATCTGCCACTGAACTTTATTTCCACGGTGTTTGGGTGCAGCTCTCTTAAAGGAAAACTCCTCTTTTCTTTGTTCCTTTTTCCCGTTTCTTTCTTTCTTTCTTTCCCCCCCTCTGCCCTTGTCTTGCAGCTACACCTGCCGCCATTTGCGGAGATACGTCTGTGTCTTGGACAGATTGTATTTCCCCCGCCAGTCCCACTGCTCTGCGCTGGAGCGTTGCTTCTCAGCCCTCGGGGACCACGGAGAGGAACTCTTGACTTTAACTTGCTCTCACATGCTCAGATCCTATGCTTCCAGGTTGTGAACCTCCGCTCTCCACTTACCGCATGCTGCATGCCACGCGTGACCGGCCTGTGCATGAGCGAAGGGGGCAAGTGGGAGGCGCGGAAAGTGTGTGTGGGGGGGAGGCTGTCAGATTTTAGATGGCCAGTAACTTTTACTAACAAAGCAGCCGCTGGTGTCACGTAGCATCCACACACCGTACAAAAAAGCAAGCCGGTTGTGGTTTTTCACACTGAGTAAAGTAGAGGTGGGCAGGACCTTCTTTCTTCCCAGAAATGGAGTGTTTAATTTCCTTTGTAAGTACAAAGGTAGTCCTGGACTTACAACAAGTTCATTTAGTCACATGACTTACAACCGTTGCAGCACCCCCGTGGTCACCTGGCTTACATTCGGATGGTTGACCACTGACTCACATTTATGACAGTTGCAATGCCCTGGAGTCATGTGCTTCCCCTTTTGCGACCTTCTGACAAGCAAAGTCAGTGGTGATGGTAGTAGTAGTAGTAGTAGTAGTAGTAATAAAGTTGGAAGGGACCTTGGAGGTCATCTAGTCCAACCCCCCGCTCAGCAGGAAATAATATACCATTTCAGACCAATGGCTGTCCAGTCTCTTCTTAAAAACTTCCAGTGTTGGAGCATTCACCGCTTCTGGAGGCAGGTGGTTCCACAGGTTAATTGTTCTGACAATCAGGTGAAACTACATTCTGTGTTACTAATTTAAGAACTAATTTGCCACCAACTGTGGCAAAAAAGGTCGTAAAATAGGGCAAAACTCACTGAACAGTTTTCCCACTTAGCAACATCAGTTTTGGGCTCAATTTTGCGGTAACTTGAGGACGACCTGTATTAAATATCACTCTTTTCCCAGTTCAGCTTCATTTTCACATCCACACCAGCTGTGTCATTTAACTAGCATAGGTGGGAATAGAATTGAACCTTTCCTGTGGCTCAAGATGGGTCCTTGGTACCCTCTGCGCTTGCTTGTTTTCTTGCAGACATTTCATTACCCAACTGTTGTTATTGATGATGTTGCCTAGTTTGGGTAATGAAATGTCTGCAGGAGGACAGCCAAGCTCAGAGAGCACCAAGGACTTCACAGATATTCTCTTCTGTATTTTCAAGTCATGTAGAGAACTAATTATTATTTGGGAAGTCTGTATTTTCACTCCCCTGGAAAGGCAGGATTTGTTTCTATCCCACTGTTACCATTTTTATAAGCAACTCAGGGTTGCTTATAAAGTCTTAAAGTTGCCAAAGTTGAGAACCCCTGATCTAGGCCAGGGGCCTTCAAACTGGGCCCTTTTATGACTGGTGGACTTCAACTCCCAGAATTCCTCAGCCAGGCACGCTTCATCTAGGCCAGGGGCCTTCAAACTGGGCCCTTTTATGACTTGTGGACTTCAGCTCCCAGAATTCCTCAGCCAGGCACGCTTCATCTAGGCCAGGGGCCTTCAAACTGGGCCCTTTTATGACTGGTGGACTTCAACTCTGAGAATTCCTCAGCCAGGCACGCTTCATCTAGGCCAGGGGCCTTTAAACTGGGCCCTTTTATGAATTGTGGACTTCAACTCCCAGAATTCCTCAGCCAGGCACACATGCCTGGCTGAGGAATTCTGGGAGTTGAAGTCCACAAGTCATAAAAGAGCCCAGTTTGAAGATCCCAGTAATACTCCTTCTTCCTCCAGTGTTTTTTTCCACCAGAAGCACAGTGGATTGGGATGAGAGAGAGAGACTGGCCCAAAGTCACCCAGCTCGCTTTTGTAGATAAGGCAGGGTTAGAACTCATGATTTCCCAGTTTAGCTTGGTGCTTTAACCACTAGACCGAACTGCACCCCTACAATCTACTCAGAAAGCATCGTTGCTAATAATAGCAGCTTCCTTTCCTTCCCCAAAGCAGTCGTGTCATGTACTTCTTCACTCCGACCGATTGCCACCTGCAGGGGAAAAGAAACCCACAGTATAACGTCTTCCATTTCCACATGGCTCACTATAATTAAATATTTCCCTACTCAGATGTGTGTGTAAGAAGAACTCACCCCCCCCCCACTTCCTGTCACCAGACACACGGAGGCCCTTAGCTAGGACCCTGATTTTTCTGAGCCATTTTGGGGGGGGGTAAAATTTTGATGATAAGAATGCCAAATAAGCAAAGAGCAACATTCAGATGAGGCAGGGTTAGTAGGAGCCCTGCATGTGTATAACATCAAAAGGAGACTAGTGTAGGGAAACAAAACAGAAGGCCTGTCTGCATTTTTTGTTCTTTTCTTAGTCAACTGAAACTATAATCGTGGTTGCAACTTGATTGACTAGTGCAGGAGTAGGCAACCTTGGCTCCTTTATGACTGGTGGACTTCAACTCCCAGAATTCCTGAGCCAGCCTGGCTCAGCTGGGAAGCCTCTCCCTCTCCCCTCAGCAGGGCTGGCTCAGGAATTCTGGGAGTTGAAGTCCACCAGTCATAAAAGAGCCAAGGTTGCCTGCCCCTGACCTAGTGGTTTGAATATAAGACTTGGCGGAGGCTAATTGGCTATATTTCAACCCCAATTGGACACTCTTTTTTTAATTTTTTGAAGCCCCTAGAGCAGGGGTCCCCAATCCCCGGGCTGTGCACCGGTACTGTCTATGGCCTCTTAGGAACCGGGCTGCATAGCTGGAGGTGAGGGTGGATGAGTGAAACTGTGTCTGTGCAGCATATATATATTGCACGCTCCTCCTTTCCCCTCTCCTATTCCGTGGAAAAATTATCTTCCGCAAAACCAGTCCCTGGTGCCAAACAGGTTGGAGACCTCAGCTGTAGAGTGCTTGTGCTTCTTTCAAGAGATAAAGTCAAAAGGAACTGAAAACATATTAGGCAAATCTCACATCAATGGTTTCGTTGGTCTTGCTCTTAGTCTTATGGAATTGTTCTATTAGAATAAGAATAGAATAGAATAGAATAGAATAGAATAGAATAGAATAGAATAGAATAGAATAGAATAGAATAGAATAGAATAGAATAGAACTGGAAGGGACCTTGGAGGTCTTCTAATCCAGCCTCCCGCTTAAGCAGGAGAATCTATACCATCTCAGACAGGTGACTGTCCAGTCTCTTCTTAAAAACTTCCAGTGACGGAGCACCCATGATTTCTGGTGGCCAGCTGTTCCACTGGTCAATTATCCTCCCTGTCAGGAAGTTTCTCCTTAATTCCAGGTTGCTTCTCTCTTTGATCAGTTTCCAACCATTGTTTCTCGTCCTGCCCTCTGGTGCTTTGGAGAATAGTTTGACCCCCTCCTCTTTCTTGTGGCAGCCCCTCAAATACTGGAACGCTGCTATCCTGTCTCCCCTATTTCTTCTTTTCTTTAGACTGGCCAAACCCAAGTCCCGCAGCCGTTCTTCTTATGTTTTAGCCTCCAGGCCTTTGATCATCTTAATTGCTCTTCTCTGAATTTTTTCCAAACTCTCAACATCTTTTAGTCAGATCCAAAAAATGTGGTCCAGATTTGGTCAATATCCAAGCAGCATGTTTTAGCAAGGTGCACTAAGAAACAATTGAATTAGTACCAAATAGGTGCAAATGGGAGACACTGGATATGTTTAATTGATTTTTCCCAAAATTAAGATAAGAAAATCTTTTTTAAAAAAAGGTTATTGAGTCACTTTTCAAATTTGTGGAAAAGCTTGAGGTTATACATGCTAAAAGTCCCCCCACCAAAGAACACAGCATAGCACAGTATAGCTTCTCCAAATAAAATAGTATATTTAAATTCATGCTAAACTCACTTTGCACATTCCTTAGTGTTTTATGAGTGCTGCCAAAAATTTCGGGACAGCAAAGGGGAAAAAATTGCATGACAAAATGTGACCAGAATATGGAGATTATCCATAATGGGAATAACAGTATTCCGACTATGCAAGCATATAAGGCAGAGAGACCACACAGTAAACATAAATAAAACCAGCTTGATTGTTAAGGGAAGAAGAAAAAGAAAAACATGGCATGCAATTTAAAATAGTTTCCTTTGCTTAAGAACAAACAATCGTTGTCTATAAAGAAAGGCTTTTAAAAAAAAATAAAAAAGTCTTTACAAGAGGAAAACATAGCAGTAAAAGAGAGTTTATCGAACTGTTCAGATTAAAACCAGGAATAACAAACATCTGCAGAAATGAAATCTTTGACTGAATTTATCTAAACTTAGGGTGGGTCAGGAAACCCTGCTGAAAGAGGAATGAAAATTATTTTCTCACATATGTCTGTATTACCTTTCTATATAACTGGTGCAAAATCCAAACATGCTGGATTTTGGCTCCCAGAATTCCCTATTGGCACGGAAGGGGGAGACCGTGGAAATACCAGATTTGAGGATCTGGTTAATGTAGCCGCCTGCTACGTGTGAACCTGTGCTTGGTCAGCTTTGGGTGATCTCAGAAGGCTGAAGAATTGGGGTGATGGGCTGGACCAAGCAGTCAGAATAGCATTTTGGAAACAAGAACAATTAGAACATGATAGCAGTGTTCGAGTATCTCAGGGGCTGCCCCAAAGAAGAGGGAGTCAAGCTATTCTCCAAAGCGCCTGAAGGCAGGACAAGAAGCAACGGGTGGAAACTGACCAAGATGAGAAGCAACCTGGAACTAAGGAGAAACAATTAACCAGTGGAACTACCTGCCTCCAGAAGCAGTAAATGCTCCAACACTGGAAGTCTTTAAGAAGAGACTGGACAGCCATTTGTCCGAAATGGTCTAGGGTTTCCTGCCTGAGCAGGGGGTTGGACTAAATGACCTCCAAGGTCCCTTCCAACTTTTATTACTATTATTATTACTATTATTATTATTATAAATCCCTTCTACATTCTTGCTAAAGAAAACTCATCGCCAGGAATCAAGCCCAGTTTTTTTGGGGGGGGGGCATTTTTTAGTCTGTTTTAGCTGAGGAATGATTAGAAATGTCGATGAAGATTCTCAGTCACCCAGGTCTGAAGGTTGTCTGAAGTTGTCTGAAGTTTGAATCCTTGCAACTGGGCTAATTTTTGTTGCTAGTT